ATCACCTAGCTCAAGATTGCATAAGGAATTCAAAGCTAGCCTGGAATACACAGCAAGACCCTGTCTCAAAATAGATTTTAAAAAAAGAAAAAAATATATATATATGTTGTATTAATATAGCAAAGGTTCATTTCTATCTCTACAAATAAATAAGATACTGAACAGTTCAAACAGGTATCACTAACTCCTAATTACAACTCCTAATAACAGATTAAATCCAAAACACCAGACACCAAAGAAAAATGATTATCTGCCACAGAAAAATGATTTGCATGAAAGGAATAAAGGACACATTTATCCAAGAAAGGAGCATATGGACTAGGGCTAGGAGACCTACCTAATAGTCAAACGCACTTTTATATAAGGAGTTAGTTTTGTAACTCTAATCAACTTTCAAAATTCTGCAAACAAGGTTTCCTTCTTTCAGTGAAATATAGTTTGTTTGTTCTTTCATTTTTTTTTTAACAGTAGGAAAATTCTGGGGAAAATGAATGGGGAATAAGAATATCTCCTGAGGGTCAGCAGGTCCCAAATCGATTACCCCATACACAGTATTTAGAAGCAGATTAGAGATCAGAAATTTTTTTACAGTTCATGAAACATTTTAACAAATCCTGAAAGAGCTATTAAATCATATTCTCTGAAAAATTTCCAGCCCACAAATAAGAATATTTAACACAATTCCATCTTTATCAAAACCATGAATAGAATGTCCCTTTATTAATAAAATAGTAGAAATTTCAGCTTTAACTTAAAAAAAAAACTGTTAAAGGCTGGGGATAGAGCTCAGAGGCACAAGCACCTGCCTGGCAAGTGCAATGTCCTAAGTCTGAATCCCAGTACCAAAATGTCATTTCAGATCAGACCCATAGTTCTCCTAACAAGATGTGAACATGACAAGAATAAGTCAGAAGCATAGAAGATACATAATAGGTTAGGGAGGCAGTGGTAGCATGCAGAATAAAGCTCTTCTATCTCACTTCTCAGTTAAAAAAAAGACTACACTGGGCACAGTGATGTATGCCCGAAATCCCAGCACTTTGGAGATTGAAGGCAGGATGACTGCTGCAAGTTTCAGGCCAGCTTGGATTACACAGCAAGTCTGAGGTCAGCCTGAATTACAGAGGGAAATCTTGTCTCAAAAAAAAAAAAATTCAATGTATTTATCAAAGCAAAATAAAATAGGATAAAACCAAGCACGTGGGTGATCACAATAAATATAAATAAATTAAATTCTGATAAAAAAGACAGAACACTTAAACTTTATTTAGTCATTTTCATTTCCACCATAGGCAGGTGTGGTGACACACTCCTGTAACCCCTGTAGCCAAGATACTGAGGCAGGAGGATTGCTGCCAATTTGAGGCCAGCCTCAGCTACATGGTGAGTTGAAAGCCAGCACAAACTACATAGCAAAGCCCTGTCCATCCAAAAAAAAATTCCAACACAACTGGTCTTTTCTTTTTTCTCTCCTTCTCTTTCTTCCTTTTCTTTCTGAGGCATTATGTAATTCAGACTGGCCTTTGATTCACCACTGTAGCCCTGTAGCCCTTTTGATGATCCTCCTGCCTCGGCCTCCCCAGTGCTGGGATTACAGGCATGCACCACCACGTCCAACTGTCTTTATCTTTTTCTATCTCAGAAAATTTCTGCAGCCTTTCAAATCACAAAGATCTCAAATGTTACTTAACAGCCAGAGGCACAAGACAAGGGTGACAGCCTCAGATAGGAGGAGAAAGCACCTCGGTGTCTGGGTCCGGATTGCTGTAGCACATTAAGATCAGGGGGTAGAGGGGCTGGGGATTTAGCTCAGCGGCATAAGCGCCTGCCTTGCAAGCAGGCAGTCGTGAGTTCGATCCCCGGTACTGACAAAAAGTAAAAAGACAAAAAAAAGATCAGGGGGTAGAATCCCAAGTGACAACGTATTCTCTCTCTTCCCACCCACAAGGATGGCTGGGAGCTCAGATCACTATGCCTGTGTTCTGCCAGCCCTCTGCCCAGTAGTGAAGTGACTATACATGGGATATGCCTGATTAGTTTTTCAATTTAGTATCTCAACATCTGTGCCTCATTCATCTGGGGTCAATTTTCCACTCTCATTTCCTGGTATTCCTCTCCCCTTCAGCCGCCTACTCACACCCGACCTCTTCCTTCTGTGAGGGTACAGTAAATAATGTCAAAGCCACTAGGACAGGCAAGGAGTCCTTTAAGGGTACCAACTAAGAACCTGGGTATCTCATAGGTGTGATCTAACCCTCCCGCCAGCCTGACAAGGTATGAGTACAAGTTTCCAGAAGACAGACTGGGGTGAAGGAAGCTGCATAAGGACCAGGGTGACGAACTATGCAGTGTGTCTGAGATGGAGGGGCTCCAAGGGACTCTCAGCTTTTAAACCTAGACAGTTGTGGGGCTGAGGACACAAAGAGCATCATCTTGGCCCATTTTCTCTGCTGGAAAGGATCTGAAACTGAGGAATTATAAATAGAAGCTCCTTGGCTCACAGCTTGGAAGTCAGGAAGTGCAAGAGCATCTGATCGGGCCCCTTTGCACAATAATATGGAGGGAATAAATCCCAGGTGACTGAGAGCAAGCCAGCTTTTGAAACAAAGCTACTCAGTGACAGCCTGTTAATCTATGAAGGGATTAACTCATGAACCAATTAATGGATTAACCCATCAATAACATAAATGGATTAACCTATCCAGAGGGGTGTGACCCCAAGTCCTAATCAATTCCCCCCAAACTCCACCACATATGGATTGGAGATTAAATTTCCAAATTGGGAGTTTGGGTTACATACTCAAACCATGGCACCTCCCTTCCCCTTTCCTTTACTTTTTTTTTTTTTTTTTTTAAAGGTCTCTCTATGCAGTTCAGGCTGACCTTGAACTCATTATGCAGCCCAGGTTGTCCTCGAACTTGCTATGATTCTCCTGTCTCAGACTCCCAGGTGCTAGGATTATAGGTATGAGCCACCACACCTGGCCTCCCTCACCCTTTCAAAAATTCACATTTGAGAGGTGTGATGATGTACACCTGTCATCCCAGTACTTGGGAGGCTGAGGCAGGAGGACTGCTGAGTGGAGGCCAAACTAGGCTACCTAGTGAGTTCAGAGCCAGCCGGAATACACAGAATGACCCTGGCTCAATCCTCCCCACCAAAAGTTCACATCTGAACTCCAAAGCCCTTGAACTTTCTCTCCCAAAATTCGTCTCTCTCTCAACCCAAACACTGACACTTCAGAAGCCTTGTTATTCTACCTCACAGGCTTCTGGGCCTAACTTAATTTTGGTGACAAATTGTTCAGCTCTCCTTATCCTACCTCTTCCAGTGCAAAGTACTGTACGCTAACCTTTCCTCACTGCCTGACACAGTGCACCCGAAGGACCAAAACTGGCAGCTATAAAATTAAAAGGCAAAAGAGCCTAGAGAAGGCTTGATCCCTTTTAACTCTGCCTATTTCTCTTTTAACATAGCATTATTAACAGTGAAAGCCCGGTGAGAATGGGATTGAGGAACTGAGAAAGAAATTGGTCTTGACTCAGAATATAAAATTAGGATATTGGGCTAGGGATATTGCTCAGCAACACAGCACCTGCCTCATAAATGTGAAGTCTTAAGTTCAATTCCCAGTACAAAAAAAAAAAAGATTTAAAGTTAGGATGACCAAAGCAAGCCTGTTTTACCCTCAAGTCTAATGATACACAGATGAACTGAAGCAAAAAAAGTAAATCCAGCAAGGATGGCAGGGGTGTTCTAGGCTGTGAATTCTTTTTTTTTTTTAAACACTTTTTCTTTTTTCTTTTTATTGGTACTGGGGATCGAATTCATGACTGCCTGCTTGCAAGGCAGGTCCCTATGCCACTGAGCTAAATCTCCAGCCCCCTAGGCTGTGAGTTCTAAGTGGTGATATTAGGTGGTGTTTATTTTTGAGTGTGTGTGTTTTTGAGACAGGGTCTTGCCATGCAGTTCAGGCTGGCCCTGAGCTCACTTTGTAGCCCAGGCTGATCTCCAACTTGCAACAATCCTCCTGCCTCAGCCTCCCAGAGTGCTGGGATTACAAGAGGGCAGTGCATCATGCCCAGCTGTTTAGGTGGTTTAGTAAGGAAGACTGCAACAGTGTCTGAGGTTAATACCCTCATGGGGCCTCAATCTTAATACTGACCCTTTCTCAAGGTCCCATTTTAAACCCCAGTTGTGCTGCCCTCAGGCCTTCTACCTTCTCTACTGCTCTTGCAACTCCTTCTTTCCAGTCTTAGGGGCGCCTATGATGACTTAAAGGGGAGGAGGAAGTGGATGTCAGAAGAACCTGAAACAGCATCCAAGAAACATGGTTTTACACCGGGTGTGATGGTGCACACCTGTAATCCAGCACTCAGGAGACCGATGCAGGAGGATCACTGTACGGCCAGCCTGGGCTACAGAGTGAGTTCAAGGCTAGACTGAATTACAGAGCAAGACCCTGTCTCGAAAAAATAAAACAAAACAAACAAAAAAACAAAGAGAAGCGGGGGGGGGGGGACGACGGCTTTGGCAGTACAAGTAGTAAGTACCACACAGAGAGAACGTTTGTGGGAAAATGAACAAATCAGTGCCACACAGAAACTACTGTAAGCAAGAACCTAAGTACTTCCTCAAAGACAACAGGCGTCCACAACATTAGCACAGCGCTCAAGTGAGTCTTTACCAAATGACATGAACAAATGAATTTTCTATTTTTGAGAAATTCCGTGTTCTCCTTCCGTGAAACACAGCCCATGAGGCAGTGAACACCCTGCGCTCCCGATATTCCAAGTGTGGGCTCCAGCATCAGGGAATCTACCGAGTCAGAATCTCCAGTGTTGGAAACCAAGAACCCAAGGCAAATCTCAGCAACTAAAGGTGGGAAGACTCTGCCTCAGAGGTCAGCCACACACGACCCCTGCACGCTTCCCTTGGGCGTGACATACCCGGGCGCACGTCGCACGCCCTCGCCCCTCCCGGCAGCGCCCCAATTCACCTTGATGCGCTCCCCGTCGATCTCCACCGCTCGTTCTCGGAAGTCCACCCCGATGGTGGCCTCGGTGCGGTCGGGGAAGCGGCCGGCGCAGAAGCGGTAGGTCAGGCACGTCTTGCCCACATTGGAGTCGCCGATCACGATGATCTTGAAGATGCGGGAGCGGGCCGGAGGCAGGCACCCCGAAGCCCCCGGCACCACGCAGCTGCTGGAGAAGCTGGCCTCCAGAGAGGACTCTAACTCCGAGGCCATCCTCCCCACCCGCCCGGAGCCGAGGCAGAGGACAGCGGACGCGACAGGGCCTGGGGATGACGCCACAGCGCGAGCGCCGGGCTCCGCCGCGCAACCCAAGTCTTGGGAGCCGCCGGCCTGGCCGCGCGCGTGCGCACGCCCCGCCCCCTCGCCACCGCGCCCGCCCGCCCCTCCCCCGGCTCCCGGCCGCGCGCGCACTTCCGCAATGCGCCCCCACAGCGCCCGAGGTTCCTGGGCTGCTGCGGCGGCGGCCTAAAGGAGTGTTTGTCCCTGCCACGTCTTCCAGGGAGAGAGGGAGACAGCTGACAGGAAAGAGGGGCCGCCCGGTCTCTCGCGAGAAACCGCAGAGCCGTCGTGGGCTTAGCGCAGACTGCAGATCGCGGGCTGGCGGTGGGCATCCCCAGACCAAAGGCGCCTGGGGTCCCGCTGATTTCCCCGGTCAGGGAGGTGGACAGAAGAGCTGTGAACCACTTGGCCGGGTTCACTGAACCTGGCCTTTCTGGTGAAAATAAAACCACTTGTACCTTAACTCTAGCCCACGCTGGCCTCTAACTTGCTGTAATCCTCCTGCCTCAGCCTCCCATGTGCTAGGATTACAGGTGTGCACCACCATGCCTGGCTTGATTTCTGATTTTAAGACAAGGTCTCACTAAATTGCTCAGGCTAGCCTTGGCAAGTCTCAGGCTCCCAAGTAGAAAGGATCACAGGCATGCATCACCTGGCCTGGTGTAAAAATTACAAGTTACAGAGAAAAAACACCTGAATTTCAAGTTACATTTTTCTGATACCAGAACCTCGCTCCAATCTTATACCGCCTACTTGACAGAGCTTATTTTCTATCCTGCCCAATCTTGTTTAGGGCAGGAGGCCTGTAGGCCAGAAGTCCTTCTTAAGGTGGCCAAGCCCAAACTGCCAGTGTTTCTAGGTCACCTCTCATTTCCTCATCCTCATCAGCATTTTCTTCGGCAGACACAGGGCAGTGTCAGCACACTAAACAGCTGCCGTTAAGTGAAGAGCAGCAGAAAGAAGTGGCGGCTGACTTGCTGATAGGAGGCAGCAGGATCTGCGACCTGAAAGGCTGCACAGTATCCACCTCCTCCTCAGCTCCCTTCTCTCCCCTTTTCTGGGCACCTTGATATGAGCAGGTCTGGTCCACCACCAAGTCTTGTCTGTCTGGGCCTGCTGAAAGTGGGTCGAAACCCCTGACATGCCAGCCAAAAGAAAGTTCTCTTCCTTTAAATTCTGAGGGTCAGGCATTTTGTCCCAGCAATGAGGAAAGTGACCATGACAAAGACCACCACTGGGTTGAGAAACTGATTTGATTTGAAACCCTGTATTGCACTCACCATCTTGTTTTGACTCATTTTCCTCTATTCTGTTATGCTTGATAGTACCAAGTTCGAAAGTATAGGCAACAACTATGAAGACAATAATATTCATTATGATGCCCATTCCGGTTGACTATTATCTTCTTTTGAAGTCCTCTAATGTCTCCAATGTTTTGGTTTTATTGGTCTTGTTCTTTACTGTTTTGTTCAATTTTATTATAACTGATGATATAGGTAATTCTTTTTAAGATAGCAAGAGGCATTATGGTAACCATTGTCGATCACCTTGTATTTTGTTTTTACATTATGTATTATGTCCATCCTTTTTTTTTTTTTTTCCTTTTTTTTTTTTACCAGTACCAGGGATCGAACTCACGACTGCCTGCTTGCAAGGCAGGTGCTTATGCCGCTGAGCTAAATACCCAGCCCCTATGTCCATCCTTTTGATTTGACTGACTCTGTCCTGTTATGTCACATTTGGTTTTACTTTCTTCAAAAAAAAAAAGTAATAATAACTGTGGGAGTAATAAAACCCAAAATGTGTAATTGTCATTGTACAAAAGAAAGTGCTCTAAAGGATATAACTGCATATATATTTAAGTGTATAAAATACATAACCGGGGCTGGGGATTTAGCTCAGCAGCATAAGCACCTGCCTTGCAAGCAGGCGGTCGTGAGTTCAATCACCGGTACCGATGAAAAAAAAAGATACATAACCATATTACTGAGTTTTGTTGGATCATTGAACAAAACTGTTCGCAGTCTCACTGTTTGAAAGTCCCCTCTATATGCTTTAATTTTGTAACTTGAGCAACTATTTCTAAGATGACAATATGTAATTAACTAGTGATTTCCTACTGTTTATTTTTTCTGAAATTCTGTATAACTTGTACGCTTTTTCTGTTTTTTTTTTTTATTCTTTTTCTCCTTAAATAAAATTTAAAAAAAATTCTGGAATGATACTAATATAGAAAGCACCAGAAGTCTGGGAAAGAGTTTTGGCCCAGGCCAGACACTGGCCTGCATCCTGGATTAATTCCTCACTTCTCAACACACAGGAGCTGCTCAACTTGTTGCTGCTGGTTTGCAAACACTAGTCTAATTGATTTACCGCAGGTGAGCAAACTCCAAAGATTACTCCGTGCTAGTGGGCCAGGCCCCACGCTGGATTTTCTTCCCATTCCCTGGACTGGGATAGCACTCTCACATCCCTTGGGCAGAGCCGATACAGTAATCCATGGGTACTCCATTCACACCTTTTGGTGACAATTAAAAAGCATGAGTTTTGGAACCGATTACCATCATTCTTAGAGGCCAGGTGATGGCCTGACCTGCCTTAGGCCACAGTCTGTTGGCTCACTTTACCGTGATTCAGACTACTTTCTGTCCCCCAAAAAACACACCTCTGGGGTGCCTGGTTCAAAAGGCTACCTAAAACCAAAAAGCTGATCTTTTATTTATGGCTTATCACACTGGTGACAAGTTTGCAAAAACTCTCCATCTTTAGGCCTTTGTTTCAAGAATGTGTCCTTCTCTCCCTCTGCTCCTCCAGGATCCCTCCCCCTCCACACACTTAGGACACTTATAGTTTTTCCCCTATCTCACACACCAAATCCCACAGCTTTCTCAGTATCGTCCTTTCTTCCCGCTTCACCCATTTCTCAATCCCTCCCTGGACCGGTGCCAGCCTGTTTTTCCCAGTGCACGCTGGAATGGGAGAGGTGTGCACGGACAGCGTTGGACTGCACATAGGCAGCTGAGGTGGTACGTGCACAGTGTGCACCAATGGGCCTGCCTAAGTTGCTCTGTGCTCTCACGCAGAGCGCCAGCTCTGCACTCCCCCTGCATGCTCCTGGCACCTCCAGGAGCAGTCCCAGCTCCCAGCCCCAGCCCCCGAGCAGGAGCACCAGCGTGGCTCTGGGCATCAGCTTGGAGGAGGAGACAAAGGTATGCTGCGGAAGGAAAGGGGCCAATTCTTATTTCAAGAGATCTCTATTAGGGGCTGGGGATTTAGTTCAGCAGCATAAGCGCCTGCCTTGCAAGCAGGCAGTCGTGAGTTTGATCCCTGGTACCAATAAAAAAGGAAAAAGACAAAAAAAAAAAGATCTCTATTAATCTACAAAGGTTCACACCAGCCTTCTTTAATATAGTTCAAATTCACCAAATATATTTGAGTGCACTCTGATTTTATAAGATATATCTGTTGTTCATTCAGTCTGTTTATAATGCCTGCTCTGTAAACAGCTGTTCTTTTTTATTTGAGCTCAACAATTTTTTCCTTTTTTACATTCTCAAACCATTTAATCAAGTTTTATTTGGGTTATAGATTAAAAAACATGCTTCTACCTAGTTTGCCAGCTGGTCAAAATGGTACTAAAGCTGATTAAATAAAATCTCTTGGGGTGAGGAGATATTGGACAAGACTTCAATTGATAGACGGGGAAAGTGGCCACCTGGTAATTTTATCAACCTTGTTTATCAATTGAGGCCTCCAATAATTTCCATAGCCTTATGGGAGACACCTCAACTAAAGTTCATATGACTAAGACAATTCATTGTTGCTGATCTGATGGTATATTCATGCTTTCAAATATAAAATTAGGATGGTTTCTGTTGCCTTTTTCTTGTGTTCCAGCCAAGAGATACAAATCAGACCAACATTAGGAAACCAGTCAAATAATAATTTTTATACAAATTTTATATAATGTATGATGACAAGTGTTTTCTTTCAGATCCAGGCATAGGCTTAGAGATGCTTCATAAATTCATTCAGCGCTTAAATGTTAAAACATTTATGGTTAATAGCCATTTAATCTTCTATGTTAAGCTTACTGCCTATACTGCCCTGTACTGTTATCAATCTTCTGGATATTCAACAACTAAATTAAGAGATAATTATGAACTCCTTTTTTTTTTTTTTTTTGTCTTTTTTGTCTTTTTCATTTTTATCGGTACCAGGGATCGAACTCACAACCGCCTGCTTGCAAGGCAGGTGCTTATGCCATGAGCTAAATCCCCAGCCCCAATTATAAATTCCTTTTCGATTCCTTTTGCTGGGATCAACCAGATCTTTTCCAGAAAGGTTATATGATGCATGCAAAACAACAATACCAACACTGGGGCAGAGGCAAGGTTTGAGCCTTTTCCAGCCTGTCCACTGGCCCTGGCTCAGCCCTCCCCCGAGCCATAATTAACTATACTCAACTGACGTTAAATGACACCATAGCTGATCTCTCTCCTAAATAAAAAGGTAAAATTAATAAAACAGGCCATCCTCCGAAAATCAGATGGCATTAGACATTCTAACAACATAAAGAGATACTTGTATAAGACAAATAAATGACATGTCTGTTCCTAAAATTCCCTGGACCTTATCCTCCTTATGGGAAGCCATTACTAAAGTTACGATTATAAATACCCTGTTGAATGTATTATTTGACTCCTGCATACTTGATTCTTTTTTTTTTTTTTTGGTCTTTTTCCTTTTTATCGGTACCGGGGATCGAACTCACGACGGCCTGCTTGCAAGGCAGGCACTTATGCCACTGAACTAAATCCCCAGGCCCCTGCCTACTTGATTCTACAGATACCTTCCACCGTGGGCCAGATCCCAAGACAAAAGGCTAAACTTGGTCCTCAAATGCTACAGGGAGACTTTCTTAATATGACTTTTGATGTTTTCAACAACAGAGATAAAAAATAACAATCTGATCTTTTAGCAGTGACACTCGGAGCTCTGAGACAGGTAAACCAACACAAGGTGGAGCTGCCTGAGCCTATCCTGGTCAATGCTTCGAATGC